GGACGCGGTGGATACACGCCGCGACGACGACGGCGCGGGGATGGGGGGGATGGGGGGGTTGCGGCGCGCGGGACCCCGGGTCGAGGCGGCGGAGAGCAACGCGGGCCTCGGATCTCGAGGCTTGGGGGGGGGGACCGGCGCGCGTGGGACCGCGAATGTGTCCGTGCGCGCGCTCGCGGCGGCGACGCGGCGCGCGCGGGTGTTGGAGGTGGCGATGGAGGAGTTTGAGACGGCGGCGGCGGAGGCGCTGGAGGAGGCGGCGCGCGCGGGCGAAGCCGCGCTCGATGCCGCGATCGAGGAGTTCGTTCGAGAGCGCGAAGAGTTGGAAATGACGATCATCGCGCTCGAGCGCGAGATGGAGGAGCGACGTGCGAGGGCGGTGCGGGAGATGGACGCCGTTCGGGACGAGTGCGAGGCGAAGCGCGCGAAGGACGCCAAGCAAACGAAAAAGCTCAAAGCGGCGGCGGCGATCGCGGAGGAGATCATGCGGGTGAAAGATACGATCGCTAAAGATTGCACCAGGCTTCGCGAGGAGAAGCGCGCGCTCGAAAAGGAAAACAAAAAGTTGTGGCGTCGCGTCGAGGAACTCGAACGCGACGCGTAGGTCGGCGGTTGCGGATAAAAATATATGTATTCTCACACAGCGACGATGAAACGCGAACGCGCCGCGTCGTCGTCGTTTCTCTCGGGCGCGCGCGGTGGAGACATCGCGGGAGCTGCGCGCGACGGCATCATCGGAAGTCACTCGCGCCGGCGCGCGCCGGCTTTTCGAGTCCTTCGTCACGTCCTCCTCGCGCGCGTCTCCTCCATCGCATCACCACCGGCATCGCACCCATCGCGCGCGCGTCCCTCACCCCAGCCGCCGCATCGCCTCCTCGATCTCCTTCATCGCCGGTCGTCCATTCTTCCTGAACAACCCTTGTTGTCGTCCGCGCCACACGTCCACGCCGCCGCACGTCACCGTCACCGTGATCGGGTACGCGTCCACCCGGTTCCCGATCACCCGCGCGTTCGGCCGCACCGCAAGAATCGCCGCCTTCGCCGCCTCGAACTCTTGCATGCCACCGTCTACGTCAACGCGCGATCGCGTCGTCAGTCGTTCCGCCCCGCGGTTCCGCGTCGTCCGCCCGCGCGCGTCCGCCCCGTCCACCGCGTCGCTTCGCTCGCCCGCGCCCCCGCGTCGCGCGCGCACCTCAGTTATGACTAAACGTCACCGTCACCGCGTCGTCGTCCATCGCGCGCGCGCGCGTGTGCGGTCGCGCGCGCGAGATGCCCATCGTCCACGATCGCGGTCGTCCCGAGAGATCATTCGCCCCGCCGCGCGCCCGCGTCGCCATCGCGCGCGTCACCGCGACGAGCATCGACCGCGCGCCCGTCGTCGCGCTCGCGTCGCGCGCGCCCGTGTGCGGGTGACGCGTCGACGACGAGACACCGTCGCGAGACACCGCCGCCATGGATGATGACGAGGACGATTCCAATCGCGCCCTCGATCGCGTCGTCGTCGCCCTCGCGTGCGACGACGCGGTCGCGGCGACGATTGCGGCGGCGCTCGTGCGGGCGACCGCGCGCGCGCGGGCGTCGACGGTGAACGCGCGCGCGGTGACGATTCTCGCGCTCGGGACGACGAGGACGACGCGCGAGGACGTCGAACGCGCGGGTGGGGCGCTGCGGGCGAGCGACGTCGGCGCGCCGCTCGCGCGGGCGATCGCGCGGGCGGTGCGCTCGAGCGGGGCGAAAGGGGTGGACGCGCGCGAGGTGGATGGGGCGATGGACGCGGAGACGTTGACGGGCGCGCGGGCGACGACGGCGGTGGATTGCGGCGGCGGACGCGTGAGCGAGCGGTGCGGCGTCGCGGTGGCGTGCGAACGGGCGAGAGAGATGGGAGGGAGACGGGTGACGCACGTGTGGGCGAGCGCGAGCGCGGTGACGGGGACGGTGTTCGAGGACGGCGGACGGCGGGCGCGAGGCGAGCGCGGGTTGTACGACGCGGCGCGGCCGACGACGGCGGCGAGCATGGTGGAACGAGCGACGACGGTGCGGGCGGAGAGAAAGTGCGCTTTGCATTATGAATTTTTGCTCTCGCATCCGGAGACGGCGCCGTTGTTGGGGGGGAAGAAGGTGGGCGGGACGACGGCGCGCGCGGCGCCGGCTTCGGCGTCCATGTGCGCCATCGTGGGCGCCATCGCCGCGGCGAAGGTGTTGCGCGCGCTCGAAGACGAAAACGGTGAAGTCATGAGTGACGACGCGCCGATGGAGGCGGTGATGAAGCAGTGGACCCACGTCGATGCGATGGAATTGTACCGTCCGGATCGAGCGGACGCGCACGCCGAGCCGTCGTCGATGGACGGGTACGAGACCGTGCCGAGCGGCGGCGACGGCGACGAAACGATGGAGGACGCGGAAGATGTGTGCCGAGGATTCGAGGAACAGGCTAAGCTGTACGGGTACGACGCGATGAAAAAGTTGCGCGAGATGCTCGTGCTGGTGTGCGGAAGGGATTCGCAAGCGAACGACGCGTGCGCCACGGCGTTGGGATCGATCGGTGTCGGGACGGTCGATATTTTCGGTGCGAGTGGATCGGGTACGTTCCTTCGACAAGAGTGCGATGTGGACGATCTGTGCGATCTGGATGACTTGGAGGCGTACAAATATCACGTCATCATCCGAACCAGCTCGTGTCCCGAGGCGAACGAGTTAGTTCTCTCGGCGCACGAAGTGAGAACGCCCGTGATTGAAGTCGAGAGCCCTCGCGTCGGTGAATCTATCGTGCACGTCACGGTCGGGTCGGGTTCAGGATACAAGCGCGGGCCGTTCGTCGGGTGGATGGAGACGACGACGGCGTTGGTCGCCGCGCACGTCGCGGCGATGGAAGTCGTGCGCGTGGCGCAGGATCGACCGCGGAACGCGACGATCGTGTGCGACGACGAGGGAATTTTCACGCAATGTACGCAGTAGAGTTGTGAATTTTGAATCAAGTGCCGATACCGGCACGCTAAAACCGAAATCACGTCTTATTTCTTACCCTTCTTCTTCCCTTTCTTCTTGCCGCCAGCCGTCTTCTCTTTTTCCTTGTTCGGCGAAAGCACCTTCTTGATCGAATTGGAGAATCTCGAGAGAGGTGACTGTGCAAGCTTTTCTTGCTTGATCCTGTAGCACTCGGCGCATCGACCGTCGCACCCGTCCGTCCTGGGAACGGCGCCACACTTCGAGCACATGCTGCTCCACGGCGTCGATGGCTCGTCAAACTCCAAAGTTCGCGGCGGAGTCTGCGGATCCTTGTCGTCCTTGTCGAGCTCTGTCGTCGTCGGTCCGTCGGCCCCGGTGAGACTCTTTGACGTCGTCACTGGCGAAGGAGGCGATATGGGCCACGCGTCCGGCGACCCTGATCCCGGACCCCGGGGCGGAGAGCCCTCGTCGACATCCGTCGCGGATTTGATGTCGCGCAGTTTGACTTGAAGTTCGTCCAACTCGGCGATGGCTTTGGAGATTCCCTGGGGCGTCTTGCACTCCTCGACTCTGGACAATAAAACCGCCATGCGCGCCTGAACGTCTTGCATATCGTCGTCCTCGCCCGCGTGCGCACCGATTCGCTCAGCTGTCGGGGTATTTATTTTCGCCATGATTCGCTCCATCGCGATCGGAGAAGCGAACCCACTCGCACCGCCCTCCGCGCCCTCGTCGTCCTCCGCGTGCTGCGACGTCACCATGGTGAGTGTTTCGAGCATGTTCTTCAACTCTTGCTGAAGCTCGAGCTCGTGCGCGCGCAGCTGCACGACGTGATCGCTCAAGTCCTCATTTTCGAGCTTCAGTTGCACGTTATGGCTCTCTGCCTGTCGCAGATTAATCTCCGCGTCCTGCAGCGCGTGTTCGATTGCCGAGTACTCTTGATGTCTCTTCTCAATCTCCTCCGCCAACTCCACGTTCCGCTTCCTCGCCGCGTCCAGACCCGAGATGGCCATCTTACCATCCTCCAGCTCGTGCCTCAACGCCTCCAACTCCTTCACCAGCGCCCCGTTCTTCGCCGTCAGCTCCTGCACGCTCTTCCTCGCCTGCTCCGTCGCCTTGTTCGCGTTCGCCACCTTCTCCTTCAACATCCGCACCTCCTCGTTCGCGCGCGCCTCCTCTCCCGCTTTCTTTTGCTCCGCCAGCGTTAACCGTTCATTCTCCACCTTTAGCTTCTCCTTCTGCCCGTTCGCCACCGTCAACGCGAATCTCAACCGCGCGCTCGTCTCTCGCTCCGTCTTTGCCTGCTTCTTCAACTTCTCACACTCGTCCTTCGCCTCGTCCAACCGATCCAGCGCCTCGTCGTGATCGGCGTGCGTCAACGCGAGCTCGCATTCGCATCGCTCGAGCTTTGCGCGCGCCTCGTCCAGCGCCGTGTTCGATTTCTCCGCGGATTCTTTGCGTTCGGCGAGTCGTTTATTCGTTTGACGTTTCAATCGCGCGGCGAACACGGACGCCACACCGACGATGGCGACGTGCGCCATGGCGCGCGAGAAAGCGCGTGGCGATGGGCGTCGTTCGCACCCGGCGCGGTGGCGCGGAGTGGCGCGGAGTGGCGACGCGAGGTGAATGAATGTGGTTGGTCCAAATTGAAATGCGCGCGCGGATGGATTGGCGGCGCGGCGGCGCGACGACGATGACGTCTATAACGCGTGATTTCAACGCGTCCGAGCGAGTACTGAGGGTTTGATCGTCGTGTAATCATCGTCGCGTAATCTCGCGATGGAGCAGTAGTCTGGGCGGTCTCTCGCGCGCGAGCGCCTCCGCGTCGGTCTCGGCGCTCTCCGCGGCGAAGCCGGCTTTCTCGTACGCGCGTCTGGCGGGTACGTTGTCGCGCTCGACGTGCACGTACGCCGCCCGCGCGTCGGTGTGCGCGGCGAGCCAATCGGCGGTGGCGTTGAGCATGAATTCGGCGATTCCTCGGCCGCGGTTTTCGGGCGAGACGCAGACGTTGAAGACGTACGCTCGCGGCGGGTTGAGCGCGGCGACTGGATCGAACCGCGATTCGGCGTCCGCGTCCGAATCGTCGCCCAGCGACGGGCGCGTGCCGATCAAGAACTCTCCAGGGAGCGACCGTCCGAAGTGCACGTCGAGCGTGCCGACGACGATCGCGTCGGCGGCGTCGTTCGATCGCGCGGGTAAGACGGTCCACGAACGAAGCGCCGCCGCGTCCGCCGGATGTTCGCCCGTCGACGCGTCCCAACGCGCGCAATCCCCCGCGCCCTCGATCGCGGCGAACGTGTGCACGCCGAACATCCTCGCCATCTCAAAACGCCTCGCCCGCGTGCACTCGCTCGTGACCCGTCCCGACCACCACTGTTCTCGCGCCCGGGCGACGCACGCGTCGACGTCGCCCGCGCTCGATCCGAAATCAAAAATCAATCCCTCTTCCGCGTCGTACTCGTAGAAACACCGCGTCCGGAGCGCCGCGCACGCTCTCCGAATCACCGTCGACGCGTTATCTCTCGTCTCTTCCCCCAACGCGACGAACTCCCGCGCCCGCGCCCGCGCCCGCGTCTCGCGTCTCCCGCGTTTCCCGCGTCCTCGTCGTCCACCGTCCCTCCCGATCGCCCACCGCGCGGACGTCAACGACGCGTTCGCCATGCGTCGAACGCGTTCGATCGTCCGTCGTTCGATCGTCCGCGTCAGTATCCTTTGTTCCCTCGCAGACGCGTGCGCATGTCCAGTTGTCCTCGTCTGCACTGCAAATAGTTCCCACGCTTCGTCTCGCACTCGCTCGGGCGCTCGGCGCCGTTCGCGCCCTTGGCGCAGTCTCGCGGGTCTCTCTTTTCCGTCGCGACGCACGCCGAGCGCTCGATGCAGTCGAGGTAGTCGTCGAGCGAGCCTTTACAACTTTTGCTCATTCCGCGCCGCGACGCGGAATGACGACGACTGTGGACGCCGAGCGCGACGAGGCGCGGGATAGGGGGGAGCGAGGGATGGTGTTGGTGCCGTCGACGTCTCTGGACGCGCGCGTGGGCGTCGCGGGGGCGTACGAGGGGCTCACGACGGTGAATCTGCGAGCCAACGGTCTGCGAACGCTCAAAGATATCGCACACTTGCCGTCGGTGCGCGTCCTGGATGTCTCCGCGAACGCTCTGATCGCGCTCGATGGGTTGAGCGATGTCTTGGGTGCGTCCTTGCGGACGTTGGACGTGAGCGATAACGCGATCGGGACGTTGGAGGGGTTGGGACGGAGCGCGCCCGGGTTGCGCAGACTGCGGGCGAGAAACTGCGGCGTCGATCGTGACGGTGTGGGCGCGCATCCGTCGTTGATCGAGCTGGATCTGGGGGGTAATGGATTGGAGGAGATACCTGATTGTTCGAGGTGTCCGGGGCTCAGGATCGTGCGGTTGCGAAGGAACGCGATATCGTCGCTCGCGCTCGCGCGGAGTCGGTTGCCGGCGACGACGAGCGAGCTAGATGTTCGTGAGAACGACCTCGCGGACGCCGAGGAGTTTCGGTTTCTGAGATATTTCCCGAGATTGAGCAAGTTTTCGTTCGCGGGAAACCCCGTGGACGCGAGGGCGGTGCACTACGGGTACGACGCGCGGGCGCTCGTCGCGTTTTGTGCGCCGACGATTCGGGAGTGCGACGGCGAGCGCGCGAGCGGATCCACGTGGGCTTTCGCGGGGAAGAAGCTCTTCAGGAATGACGCCGGAGAGTTGTGTGATGAGTTGCTGGCGATCTTGAACGAGCGGGCGTCGCCCTGGGTGTTGGGTGAGTATTTGCGTAACGCCGGATGCGCGAGAACAGAGGCTTCGCCGACTGCGCAGACGCGAGAGCGAAGCGCCATGTTCTCCGTTTCGTCGTTCGTTCCGGTGCGTCGTGATGACGAGGCCGATGTATTGGATGAGGAAGATAGTGAACGATCGGATGATGGATTCGAGGTCGAGGCTCGTCGCATGTATGCGGAGGTTGAGGAGCTCGATCACACGGCGCATTGGTTATCCCGCGTCGCCTCCGAAAGCGGCGATGAAGACGACGAGAAGGACGAGGAGGCGCCGAGGCCGTTCACCATGGATGCGCTCGCGATGATTTCACCAATTCGCACACTCTCAAACGCGAAGAGATACGTCGGTAACATCGAGGAAGAGGAGGAGGACGACGACGCCACAGAGGACGATGCATCAACACAATCCGCCGAGGAGGAATTTTACTCCTTGGAGGACTGCACCGCGACGGTGAAAACGCCCACTGTTGCCTCGGCGACGACGCCGTCGCGATCTGGGTCGTCGACATCGCGCTCACAGACGCGAATGCGGCTCGTTCGCGCGTCACCCAGGGGTCGAGGTCCGAATGCAAATGATTTGAAGGGCGTCGCCGACGTGTTTCTCGATCGACTGTCCGCCCAGGAGTCGCCGATGAATGACTCGCCGGATCTCCGTCCTCGCGCGGCGACGAATCGCGGGAGTTTCGTCTTCACCGATGACAGCGATTCTTTCGCCGTGCACGAGTCCTTCGACGCGTTTGAGGACGAAGACGAGGCGTCGCTTCGTTCATTTTTACTCCTCGGCGACGAGAACGACTCGGGCGTAATGTCGCCGCTCATGTCGCCGCGCGCGGGATTACGTTCGGCGCTGAAAACCGCGGTCGACGATTTAGCGCACGGTAAAGGCGGTGGGGGGACACCCGAGAGACTGGCTCGCTGCGCGAAAAAGATTGAGACGATGATCGATGATATCAAGCGCACGCGCGTGCGATCCGGCGATTCGTGAGAACGATGTCGTCGCGCGCGCGACGCGAGCAAGGGAGCCTCACTTCTCGCTGCCAAAATGTCAAAGAAGTACGACGAAACGCCGCTCAGCGTCCTGGCCCGGACGAACTTGGACAAGTACTTACAACAACGTAGTAAGCTCGCCGAGAAGAATCGTTCAGACCAACCAGAGTCACTGCGAGGCCGGCAGGTGATCTTGCTTTCTGCTGAGTCCACGTTTGCCGAGGCGTTGATGATGATGTCCACCGTGCGCGTGCAATCCGTACCGCTCGTTCGTTACAAGAACCCGGGGAGTTCCACCGGTCCGTACGATGCCCTGTGTTTTCTGTCCGTCGGCGATCTCGTGGCGACGGTCATCGAGCGCGTCGAGAAGGCGGACATCAAGGGTACCGACCCGGTGTTCGGTCTAATGGCTCGCCTGGCCGCGATTGGTTTGGAACTCGAGTCGCTTCCACTGAAACAAGCCCGGACGAAGTGGGACGGGACGGTGCTATGGAAGAGCGCGTCGACCACGCACTCGCTCGCTGATTGTTTGAACAGGTGTTTGTACATCGGAGGCGAGTCGAATCCGGGCGAGATATCGTTGCGTGGGTGCCCACACAGGTTCGCTGTGATGTCAGACGACGACAATAGGATCGAGCACATCGTGTCTCAATCCGACATCGCGATGTACTTGCACACGAACCGAGATATCTTGACCGATTTGTTCACCGACGCCACCGTGGAGGAGCTAGGACTGGCGCGGACGCCGGGCGTAGCCGCATGCGTCGCCTCGATGCCGACCATTGAATGTTTCCGGGAGATGGAGCGACACCGCGTCGGTGCGGTGGCAATCATCGATGAGGCCACGCGTGCTATCATTGGGACCCTGAGCGAGAGCGATATCACGCATCTAGGGCGCGGTGGCGCCGGCTTTGCTGCGCTAGCGTTGCCCGTCGCGGAATTCATCATGCACGCACATGGAATCTCCGCATGGACGCCGCCGGTGGCTCAGCGACAAGGACCGTTCAATCCGAATTCAAGCGCATTCTCCGTTGCATTGATGCAACACGCTGAGTCACTCGTCGTCGCGTGCAAACCGTCCGACAAGCTCACCGACGTGCTCGCGGCGATGGATCACAACGCGGTCCACCGTGTTTGGATCGTGAACGATGCCAATCAGCCCACCGGCGTGATCGCGCTCGCCGATGTCCTCGCCGTCGTGGCAAACATGGGGATGTCCATGGAGAACGTTCGTGCGGCGCGAGACAAGATGTTGGTCGCGTGAGCGTCGAGAAATACCAAGAAACATGATGAACGCGAAACGATTGAATCTTTGGATCTGTAACAAAATGCTGACAAGACCAAGACAGTTGACAAAACCGAGACCACGCGCGTCGACGCGCGAGAGATCATAGCGCAGTGCATCCATGCAGGCGATTCGTCTTCGTGATGCCCTCTTCTTCCTCGGCCTCGGCGCGTGCGCGCTGTTGATTACGACCGTGTACTCGCCCGCGTCGTACGAGACGGTTCATATTCCAGACGACGAGCGCGCGCCCATGAGGAAGTTACTCCAGGTCATTCCGATCGGTCCCACGGGCGTAGTTCTCAACGCGATCATGCAGCCGACGACATTTTTGCGCGTTGCCCTCCTGCTCTTGCGCAATTCGGTGGACAACAATCCGACGCAGGAGTTTCTCCAGATGATACTCTCAACCGACTTTGGGCACACGAAATTCACTAACGTCTTCGCGTCCTTCGCCTCGGGCGTCATTCAGGATTTCAGCAGCGGCGTGACCACGGACACGGTACTGACGTCGGAGTGGGCGGTGGATGGAACGAGTACGCTCGATAACACCGTCTTCACCGAGTTTTTCGCCGGAGGTGCGTTCGGGATCGAACAGTTCTTTGGCTGGGGATTCGAGATGAGCGGGCTCGCTGCGGCTGCGATTCAGCAATTTTTATCGCCGAAGGATGAGAACGAGTACGAGTACGAACAAGAATACGTCGCTCCAATCGAGGGCGAACCAGATCGCCGACGCAGAAGACTCCTGAGCGCGTCTGAGGCTAAGGCTCGAAAACTTCCAGTGGGATCTGAAATCGTGCATCAAGTGCAGCACCCGCTCGACGGTGACGTCATTCGAAGAGCCGCGGGCAGAGCGCTTCGACGTGTCAACGGTACCGAGCCGGTATCGGAGCGAAGAAGTTTGTCCGAGGTGGAAGAAGTGACGTACACCGACGTCGAGGAGTACACGACTAATTGGTTCGAGTCGTTTCCCGCGGCGCTTCCACTCGCCATACGCGATAGATTCATCGCACTGCTCGAAGAGTTCGTGGTCGATCCTCAAATTCGCATTAGCTTGGACGTCACGGTGGCCCTCGTCGGCGTCGCCACTCCGGGTGTCGGGATAACTACGTACGAAGCCGCGGCCGAGAACACTGTCTCGACGCAAGTCGTGTTTCATGGGTACGACGCGGCTGTCGATTTCGCGACGTCCATCGATCCCGCAGTGGCGGTCGCCGGGTCAATATCCAAAGGCGTCGCCATCGCGAACGCCATCGACGACGCGACGAAGATTTTGGGTGCCGTCACGAGCATAGTGGACGAAGTGAACAACATCATCGAGCAAGACGGGCTGAGTCGCGAAGCCGGAGATGAGGTCGCGGCGCAGGGAGGATCGAACGAGACGCTCACCGAGCGCGTGGCAAGATGGCTTCGACCGATGCGAAACGACAGCGCGATCACACGTCCGCGCGGCGTGGACACCACTCGAGCGACACACTTCACATCGCTCGGGCAAAATAGCACGCCCGTGGAGGAGGACGAGTCGGCAGACGCTCGAGGACCATACGACGTCTACGAGCCGCTTCCCGTCGATGGCGATTACGAGCCGCTCGGAGCGGTCTCGGGGACGTACGCGGTCGCGGTGTCGTTGATTTTTCTCGAACAGATCGCACTAAACGGTGGTTCCATCACTGTTATTTAATAAATGACGGAAAGAACACAAAAACGAAAGAATTAAAGTGCCTTGACTTCGGCGAGGCGATCGCGCAGGCGTTCGAGTTTACCCGAGCTCGGCAACCCGCGCTCTTGTAAGAGCTTGCGAATCGTCGGAGCGTCCATGGAATCGACCTGCGCGCGCGTGAACTCTGGTTTAGCGTTCGCGATAGCCTTGGACTTCTTCTCACTCGCCGCCACCGACTCCTTGAACGCGGCGTCCATCTCCTTGCGAAGCGCCACGGTGCGTTGCACCTTCACTTCCTCTATGGACGCCAACTCGCGAGCCTTGGCCAAGGCCTCGGTGTTCGCGTCGCACGACGCGCTCGCGCTTGCGAGAACTTCGCGAGATTCCGACGTTTGCACGACGCCGGCGACGATGACGGTGATGTCGTCCATCTTTCCGCCCAAAGAGCCGCCGCCCAACATCTTGTTCAATCCTCCAAACAATCCAACAGCCTTGGGCGCCCCCCCTTTGTCCGTCTCGCTCTTCGCCATCTCGCGCGCGTACGGAGAATCGTACTTCTTATCCTCAGCGTGCCCACGAGCGACCTTCACGAGCGCTTGCGCCGCCGCCCCCGCCCCGCTCGCCTCGTCGCTCGCCCTTCCGTACGCCTCGGTCGCCACCGCCGCGATCTCCTCATCGAACACGTTATCGAACAACCCATCGCTTCCGAGAACCACGATATCACCGACTCGCACTTTGACCTCGAACTCCTCCGCATCGCTCGCGCTATCGCCATCCTTCGCCAACTCCGCGTACGCCAGCTGATACGGGCAGTTAAAGTAGTGCTGCTGCGCCGTCGACGCGCCCACCACCCGTCCATCCCTGACCACTCTGAATCCACTGTCCCCCACGTTCGCGCACCGCAACACGTCTCCATCTAAGCGAACGACGCACATCGTCGCCGCTCCCGGAATCTTCGTCTCTCTCTGCGCCGCCGCCATCGCGTCCTTCGCCGCCGTTTCGCCCTCCCGCGCGATCTCCCGCAGCGCCTCGTGCGCTAACACGCGCGCGTACAGGCCCGGGTCCACGCCCTGATCGTTAAATCCACCGACGCCGTCCGCGACGCCCAGGACGCCGCCGCCGCGCGTCGCGTCGACGCGGGCGAACCACGCGTCCTCGCCACCCTTGGCCGTCTTATCCGGGTGCGGCGCGTTCGCTCCGCGCGCGCACAGCGACAGCGACGCCGCGCGCGCGAGGACGACGCGCGCGCGCGTCTTCGCGCGACGCGACGGCGGCGCTCGGGCCGGGCGCGGACGCGCGAGGGCGATGATGGGCATCGCGATGGGCATCGCGTCGACGTGTGTCGCGCCCATCGGTGTGAGTGCGCGACGCTCGACGCGCGCGCGCGGACGCGAACGCGCGCGCGGCGGCGGCGGCGCGCGCGTGTCCGCGGACGCGATGTCGCCTCGCTCGGAGACGGCGACGACGCGGTGTCGAATCGTCGAAACGCGAGCCGAGCTGGAGGCGTTCCTCTCGACG